TCATCTGAAGGCAGAGCTGAGAGCGAGTGACCTGTAGGTAGAGGAGTGGACTGAGGCGAGGAGTACGTGAAGCTGAAGCGCTGAAGGACCTGCTGCACCATGTGTGAGTGAGTCAAGGTGATGGTGCGTCGTGCTCTGTCCCGTGTGATCCGCAAGCCAAGATAGCTTGTCAGTTCACCCAGGTCTGTGCACGTGTGCCTCTTTTGTAGCTCCGACTTCACGTAGGCGAGTGCCGCAGTGTCAGCAGTGGCAAAGACCAAGTCGTCGACGTACACGAGGATGTAGAACGGCGGCAGTGAAGTGTCGGTGCGTAGAAACAGCGACGGGTCGGCAGTAGAGGGAGCGAACCCAAGAGCCGCAAGTGTAGTCCTCAGTGTGTTGGGCCACTCACGCGGCGCCTGTCGGTGACCGTAGACTGGCCGCCGGAGGCTCCATTGGGTACCAGGAGGGAACGACCCAGTGAAGCCAGGTGGGCGGCACAGCCAGATCTCCTCGTGCAGGCTGCCCTGTAGGAAAGCAGTGCTGAAGTCAAGAGAGTGGAGCTCGTAGTCACGCTGAGCGGCGACGTGCAGCAGAACCCGAAGAGTGGTCATCTTCGGAGTCGGGGAGAAGGTCTGGAAGAAGTACACTCCCTCTCGCTGACTGAAGCCTCGTGCAACTTAACACGCCTTGAAGTCAGGCGGAGAATCCGGCGGCCGCTTCACCCTGAAAATCCACATACCACTGACGATGTTCTCCCCAGGTGGGGGAACCTCGTCGACGTAGGTGCCTGTGGACTTCCAGGAAGCCATCTCTGCGTCCATGGCTGACTGCCACTGAGAGGAGTAGGGACTCTTGATCGCCTCAGCGTACGATCGAGGAGTCGGGATGTCTGGTGCATCCGGGTCTCCCTCAGGGGCAACTAGCATGGACACGAGATGAGGTAAAGCAGCGGTGGAGCACTCAAACTCCTCCTGCCTGTCCTCAAGAACGTCCGTGCCAAGAGCACACTCACCCTCGACGGACGGAGGATAGACAGACTCAGACTCAACAACTAGGCTAGCAGCGTAGTCTAGACGACAAGTAGCAGCAAAGTCGACAAGCTCAGCAACTAAGGCAGACGCAGCAGCGGACTCAAAGGAAGGGTCAGTGACAACAGTAGCCAGGAGACGCGTGACAGTAGGACTGGTAGCGCGAAGGGAGTCAGACTCCGGGTTAGCAAGAGCAGGAAGAGAGGACGCAGGAGGAGACGGGAGAGGGACACGCTGGGGAGCAGTGTAAGGACGCAGAGTCATATAGTGTGTGCTGGGGACAGCAGGAGGACGCTCACGCGGAACACGGCTAGCAGTGCGAGCAGCACAAAAAGGTGACGCAGGACGAGACACAGGTGACACAGGACGAGACTCTGGCTCACGACGCTCTGTAAGACCGCCTGTCGGACCAGTGTAGGGAGAAGGACCAGGAAGGGGCGAGGTAGGCGGCAGCTGTGACTGCGACTGGACAGACGGAGGACACTCTAAGTTGGGAGGAGGACGACGAGGAGGAGGTTGACCAAGAACCTGCTGAAGGAGCGGAACGAAGTACGGCCGCGGCCGTGTAGTGTCTCTCCAGAGCTAGGAGAGGCACCAGCGCCAGGGTCCACAGCACCAACACCCGGGTCCGCAGCACCAGCGGCAGCTCCAACACCCGGGTCCTCAGCACCAGTAGCAGCTCCAACTCCAGGGTCAGTAGGCCCAGCAGTAGCTCCAACGCCCGGGTCCGCAGCACCAGCAGTAGCTCCAACGCCCAGGTCCGCAACACCAGCCGCAGTCCCAACACCCGGGTCCTCAGCTCCAGCAGCAGCTCCAACTCCAGGGTCCGCAGCACCAGCAGCACCACCAGCACCAGCAGCACCTCCAGCAGCGTCAGGAGCACTAGCACCAGCAGCACCTCCAGTAGTACCAGCAGCACCGCCAGCAGCAGCAGCACCTCTAGTACCAGGGTCCGCGACACTAGGAGCGCCACTCCGGAGACTGCAGCGCAGTGCGTACCACTCGTGGAGCCGCTGGGGAGAGGGCAGCTCCCGCCTAGGAGGGGAAGCACTAGCACCAGCTCCAGCAGCACTCCTAGCTCCAGAAGCACCTCTCCTGAGGCTGCAGTACTGTATGTACCACTCACGCAGCTGTTGTGAGGAGAGAGATCCTCCAGGTGTAGCACTCCCAGGCTCAGCACCTCCAGACTCAGCACCCCCAGACGCAGCACCCGCAGGCTCTGCACCCCCAGGCTCAGTACCCCCAGACTCCGCACCCCCAGGCTCAGCACCCCCAGACTCCACAACCCCAGGCTCCGCACGCTCAGGCTCAGCACCCCTAGCAGGACGAGAGTCGACAGCTACCTCGACAGGCTCAACCGGGTCTACCTGGGACACACCTGAGGGAGCGGCACCCTGAGGGGGGAGGGGGTCTACCACCGCAGCACCTGGCGCGAGGAAGAGAGGCGAGGGGGGGAGCGGGGCAGTGCGGTAGGGGAAGAGGCGGTAGTAGGGCACGGACTCGTCAAAAGTGACGTCCTGAGAGGGCAGGACACGGCGCGAGGTGGCGTGGTAAAACTGCCAACCAGACGCGTCCGGGACAAAGCCAAGGAAGACACAAGGAACAGCGCGGGAGGAGAGCTTGTCTGCAGACGTATCGCGAACAAAAGCTCGAGATCCCCAGACCGAAGCGCGCCCCGAGGCGCGCCCCGAGGCGCGCGTTTTTTTTTTTTAGCGACCCTGCGTGTCGCCCTTCCCGTCGTGATCCCGCCGCCCTTTCCTCGTTGGCCCCGCTTAGGCCCCGCTACGGCCCCGCGTCGGCCCCGCTTAGGCCCCTCGTCGGCCCCGCTTAGGCCCCTCGTCGGCCCTGCTTAGGCCCCTTGTCGGCCCCGCTTAGGCCCCTCGTCGGCCCTACTTAGGCCTCGTCGGCCCCGCGTAGGCCCCGTCGGCCCCACTTAGGCCCCGCTACGGCCCCGCGTCGGCCCCGCTTAGGCCTCGTCGGCCCCGCTTAGGCCCCGTCGGCCCGCCTCGGCCCCGCTACGGCCCCGCGTCGGCCTCGCCTAGACCCCGTCGGCCCGCTTAGGCCCCACTACGGCCCCGCGTCGGCCCCGCTTAGGCCCCGTCGGCCCCGCTTAGGCCCCACTACGGCCCCACTACTGCCCGCCGTCGGCCCCGCTACTGCCTGCCGTCGGCCCCGCTACAGCCCGCCGTCGGCCCCCGCTACAGCCCGCTGTCGGCCCCGCTACAGCCCGCCGTCGGCCCCGCTACTGCCCGCCGTCGGCCCCCCGCTACAGCCCGCTGTTAGCCCCGCTACAGCCCCGCTACAGCCAGCCGTCGGCCCCGCTACAGCCCCGCTACGGCCCGCCGTCGGCCCCGCTGCAGCCCGCCGCGCCACCGTGCAGCCGCCCGTGCAGCCGCCCACCGTGCCGCCCGTGAGCCGCCCCAGCCGCCCACCGTGCCGCCCGTGAGCCGCCCCAGCCGCCCGTGAGCCGCCCGTGCAGCTGCCCGCGCCGCCCATGAGCCCCTGCGCCGCCCAAGCCGCCCGAGCCGCCCGAGCCGCCCGAGCCGCCCGAGCCACCAGAGGAGCCGCACTCCTGCTCCTGTGGGGCCACTGCTGCTCCTGGTCTGTGTTACTGTTGAGAAGATAACTACTACAACGGGAGCTTAGAGTACTGGCTAGGCACGTGTGCTCGTGTGATGTCTGCGTTCGTTGGTCCTTAGACGTTTTCCTAGTGCTCACACTGGTTGCTAGTTCACAGGGGCAATTTGGCAAGAGTTTCACTAGAGAAAGTTGTCAATAATGGTACAATGAAGTTGGCAATGCAAGACTACATCAGAGCTAGCATTCAGGTTGGTCGACTGCCAGCACAGCATGGTCGACCGCGTTCCAGCACGACTTGGTCGACCACGCTACAGCAGTGCTAAGTCGACAGCTTGCCAACGCTGCAGGTTGACGGTGTGCCAGCATTGCTCACGCAGGACAGCAGTGCACCCGCTTTGCAGGTGCGCGCAGATGATTGGCATGCAAAGTCTCGTCACCTGCACAGCGCACACACCATATCAACCTCGGGCTAGCGACTGCCTCTGATCCGCCACGACGACCTCGGGATACCACCATGGAGGTCGGTCTCGCCAACTTCGCCTGGGTGACCGTCGCACTCCTTCGCAGAAACTCGTCACCCAGGTATCCTGGTCGACCGGGCAACTATGTCGACCAGCTGCTCCTGTATGTGCTCGTCGACCTCCCAAGTCGACAACCACACCAGGTCGACCTCACCAGGTCGACCACTCCTCCGGTCGACCAGATCCAGGTCGACGTCACTCCTGGTCGACCAGTGCAGTTGTCAGCTACCCAAGTCGGCGTCACCAGGTCGACGCCCCTTCTACGTCGGCGCCGACTTCCAGACCGACCTCTTGAAGTTGGCGACCTCCCAAGTCGGCGACCTTGCAAGTCGGCGGTATTGCAGTGGCGCCGTGCAAGTCGACCAACCCCGTCGACCAGCTCGTCCAAGTCGACGTCGCCCACTGCTGCAAGTCGGCTGTACCTTCCGTACACCCCACCACGAAGTCGGCTCCGCCCAAGCGTGGACGGGGCCAACACACAACTCCCGTTGACAACTGTGCCGCTGACCTACCCGATTTTTCCTGCCCGGTGAGACTGTCAGCTGCTGTCATGGCCACCCCCACGGTCCTTGCTTTTGACGCTGAGGGTAGAGCCATTGACTTTGCAGACTAGATTGAAGACCTGCAGCTGTACTTACTGTGTGATGCGATAGATGAGGTCTCTCTCTTTGACTTTGTCTCTAGCGCTGTCCCTGCCCCTCCTGCTGATGCTGACCCCGCCGTTCGCTCCAAGTGGGCGACCCGCGATGCTGCTGCACGTCTTGCTGTGCGTGGCCACCTCCCTTCCTCCAAGCGTGCCCACTTTAGTCAGTGCAAGACCGCTCAGGCCTTGTACGACGCTGTAGTTGCACGCTACTCCTCCCCTTCTTCCGCTACGCTGAGCCGCCTCATGCTACCGTTTCTCTTCCCTGACCTCGCTGCCTTTCCCACTGTCGCTGACCTTGTTACCCACCTCCGCGCTAGTGACGCTCGCTACCGCGCTGCCCTTCCTGCTGAGTTCCGCGCCGCAAACCCTCCTCCCATGTACATCACTCTCTACTTTCTCGTCACCCGTCTCCCTGAGTCCCTTCGTGTCGTTAGGGACCAGTTTCTCTCTGTCTGTCCCACCACCCTCACTGTCGACCTCCTTGAGGAGTCCCTGCTAGCGGCTGAGAAGAGCATCGTCGCTGTAGGGGCATCTCGGGGTGACCCTCGCACCCCCATTTTTGAGGGGTGTTCTCCTTCCCCCCTGCTGCCCTCTGTCGCCTCTGCCGCTGCGGCCGACCTCGCTGGTTTTGAGTCGGTCGGTGCGGCGTCTGCCCCCAGCGGTAGACGCCGCTCTGGCAAGGGCAAGGGGGGCAAGGGAGCGGGTGGAGCTAGAGGGGGCGGTGGCGGGGGAGGTGGGGGTGGCGGGGGGAGTGGGGGTGGCGGTGGAGGTGGTGGCGGGAGTGGAGGCACTGGTGGAGGCGGTGGAGGCGGAGGTGGCGGCGGAGGAGGTAGCGGAGGAGGCGGGGGTGAGGGTGCCGGTGGGGGCGGTGGCGGTGGAGACGGGGGTGGCGGTGGAGGCGGGGGTGGCGGTGGCGGCGGGGGTCGGAGTGGCTCGTCTCAGCGGAGCAGCTCTGGGGGTGGTCAGCGCCAGCAGCAGCAGCAGCCACAGCAGCAGCAGCGCTCTCGCACCGTCCCCGCCCCTCAGCAGCTCCGTGAGTGGTAGCGTCAGCGTGGTGGTGCGTTTGGTCCCTGCCCCTACGTTCTTCGCACCGGCGACCGTGCGGGGGAGAGGTGTGGAGGCACCCACACAGCCCGCCGCTGCTTTGGCCGCCTGACCGACGCCTGGCGTCAGCAGTTTCCGGAGGCCGCTGAGATCCCCCGCTGGGGGGAGCTGTCTAGGGCTGGTGTAGCTATTTATGATCTTGACTTTGATGCTATTCTTTCTGCTATGTATGCTGTGACTGGTAGTGATGAGGATGACTGTTACCGGTGTTTCCCGCCCGACCCGGGCATTGGTACTGCTGCGTCAGGTGCTAGTGAGGCTGCTGCTCTAGGTGCCAGTGCGTCTGTGCTCTCAGGTACTGGTGAGTCTGCCCTCTCAGGTACTGTGCCGGCTTCGGCCTCTCACACCTTCACCCTTGACTCTGGAGCGTCTCGCTCCTTCTTTCGGGACCGCACCACTCTCACGCCGCTGAGTCGGCCGGTTGCGGTGTCCCTGGCTGACCCCTCTGGGGGGCCTGTCCTGTCTCGCTTCTCCACGGTCCTTCCGTGTCCGGCGGCCCCCTCTAGCACCCTGTCTGGTCTCTACCTCCCCTCGTTCTCGACGAACCTGGTTAGTGGTGCTGACCTACAGGATGCGGGTGTCCACCAGTTCACTCCTGCTCGTCAGCGGGTGACCCACTGCACGGAGGCTAGCACGGGACGCCACCTGGCTACGTTTACACGTCGGCCAGGGTCGAGCCTGTACACACTGACCACTGCTTCTCCTCCAGGTGCTGAGTCTGGTAGGGTCCCTTCGTCTGGTCAGGTGTTTGCCGCAGCGTCCAGGTCTGGTCCTGAGTCTTCCCCCTGTTCGTGTCGTCGTCTGTCTCACGAGACCCTCCTCTGGCACCACTGCCTTGGCCACCCCTCTCTGCTTCGGCTCAGAGGCATGGCCTCCCGTCTGCTTGTGTCTGGTCTCCCCCGGTCTCTACCTCCCCTTCCTCAGGGCCCTGGCCCTGCCTGTGTCCCCTGTGTCGAGGGGCGCCAGCGTGCTGCCCCTCACTCCTCCCAGTTTCCTCCGACAGAGGCCCCGCTGCAGACGCTTCACATGGACGTGTGGGGCCCAGCCCGCGTCCGTGGACAGGGTCAGGAGCGCTACTTCCTGCTCGTTGTTGACGACTACTCGCGTTACACCACAGTCTTCCCCTTGCGCAGCAAGGGTGAGGTTACTGAGGTGCTGATCGACTGGATCCGCGCAGCTCGTCTTCAGCTCAGGCAGAGCTTTGGCTCCGACTTTCCTGTGCTGCGTCTGCACTCTGACAGAGGCGGAGAGTTCTCCTCTGGCCTTCTGCGTGCCTACTGTCGGGCGCGAGGCATCCGCCAGTCCTTCACGCTTCCGGACTCCCCGCAGCAAAATGGGATTGCTGAGCGCCGCATTGGCATGGTCATGGACGTCGCCCGTACGTCCATGATGCACGCGGCTGCCCCCCATTTTCTGTGGCCGTTTGCGGTCAGGTACGCAGCGCATCAGATCAACCTCCATCCCCGGGTCTCCAGGCCGGAGACCTCCCCAGCCCTGCTGTGGACGGGGAAGGTTGGCGATGCGTCGGCGTTCCGGGTCTGGGGATCTCGGGCGTTTGTCCGCGACTTGTCTGCGGACAAGCTGTCCCCTCGCGCTGCTCCCTGCGTCTTCCTGGGGTTTCCCCCCGACGCCCCTGGGTGGCAGTTCTACCACCCCACCTCTCGGCATGTTCTGTCCTCCCAGGACGTCACATTCGACGAGTCGGTACCCTACTACCGCCTCTTCCCCTACCGCACTCCGTCCCTCCCCCCACCCCCGCTCTTCTTGGTACCAGGTCCCCCCCCGGTAGACCCCCTCCCCCCTCAGGGTCCTGCCCCTTCAGGTGTGTCCCAGGTAGACGCGGTCGAGCCTGTCGAGGTCACTGGTGACTCTGGTGCTGCTGCGGGAGCTGAGCCTGGGGGTGCGGAGTCTGGGGGTGCTGAGCCTGGGGGTGCTGAGCCTGGGGGTGCTGAGCCTGGGGGTGCTGAGCCTGGGGGTGCTGAGCCTGGGGGTGCTGAGCCTGGGGGTGCTGAGCCTGGGGGTGCTGTGCCTGGGGGTGCTGTGCCTGGGGGTGCTGAGCCTGGGGGTGCTTCGTCTCGCCGGGAGCCACTCTCCCCACAGGAGCTGCGTGAGTGGTTTGCCAGGCGTTGGAGGCGTACTGCTGGTGCTGGTGGCTCTTCGGCTGCAGAGGGTACTGCTGCCGCGCGTCCCGGCGGTGCTCGTACTGTGGGTGCTGGAGCTGCTGGGTCTGAGGTTTTTCCTGGAGCTGGTGCTGCTGAGGGTGTTGGCGCTGAGACTGCCGCTGGCGGTCCGACTAACAGTGCTCCTGGTACTGCTGCTGGAGGTTCTGGAGCTACCGGAGGTGCTGCTGGAGGTACTGCTGGAGTGGGTGCTCCTACTGGGAGTACTGGTGCTGTTCCTGCTGTTTCTGGCGTTGCCGCGCGGCCCCGACCATACTTCGTTCCACTCCTGCAGCAGGTTCTTGGTCTTACACCTCCTCCTCCCTTAGAGGGTCCACAGCCTGTCCAGTCACAGCCACAGCTACAGCCTGCCTCCCCTTTGCCTGCTCCTTCTCCCTACGCTGGTCCGACTGGAGGTCTTACTGAGCGTCGTGAGCCTGCGTCTCGTCCTGCGTCGCCTGTTCGTACTACGCGCGCTAGTGGTCGCGGGTCGCGTCAGCGTCCTCCTCCTGTTCCTGGCACGCACCGGATGTCACTGCGTCCGTCCACTGCTCCTCTGCGTGCCCCTTTGCCTTCTCCTCCTGCTTCCTCTCTTCCTGCTCTTGCCGACCCGGAGTCGGACTCTCTTCGTGCTGCCAGTCCTACTGTCACGCGTCTCCTTGCTACTGCTGTCACTGACCCTTCCTTCGAGTCGTCTGCTGCGTCTGCCCTTGTCACTGAGCTTGACGACTTTGCTGCGCGCTGTCGTCTAGACTACGCTGCTAGTCTTGTCGCTGAGTCTGAGTCTGCCTGTCCTCCGTCCGTCGGGGGTGAGTGTGCCCTCGGCACGGACGTCCTTGAGGACAGGCAGGAGGAGTTCCAGTGTCTGGCCGCCGCTTCACCTCATCTCGCGTCTGTACTGCTAGCCCCTGAGGGAGACCCGGATGCACCAGACATCCCGACTCCGCGCTCTTACGCGGAGGCGATAGAGGGTCCCTACTCCTCTCAGTGGCAGGCAGCTATGGATGCAGAGATGGCTTCCTGGAAGTCCACAGGCACCTACGTTGACGCTGTTCCCCCTCCTGGGGCGAACATCGTCAGTGGCATGTGGATTTTCAGGGTGAAGCGGCCGCCGGGTTCTCCGCCTGTCTTCAAGGCGCGTTACGTGGCTCGTGGCTTCAGTCAGCGGCAGGGGGTTAACTACTTTCAGACCTTCTCCCCCACCCCGAAGATGACCACTCTTCGGGTACTGCTGCACGTTGCTGCTCACCGTGACTACGAGCTGCACTCTCTCGACTTCAACACTGCTTTCTTGCAGGACAGCCTGCACGAGGAGATCTGGCTGCGTCGCCCACCTGGCTTCACTGGGTCTTTCCCTCCTGGTACCCAGTGGAGTCTTCGGCGTCCAGTCTACGGTCTCCGCCAGGCGCCACGTGAGTGGCACGACACACTGAGGACTACGCTCGCGGCACTTGGGTTTGCTCCTTCTACTGCCGACCCGTCGCTGTTTTTGCGCACCGACACCTCTCCGCCGCCGTTCTACATCCTCGTGTACATCGACGACTTGGTCTTTGCCACAGCTGACACTGCTGGACTCGCCTACGTGAAGTCCGAGCTGCAGAAGAGACACACGTGCACTGACCTGGATGAACTGTGCAGCTACCTTGGCTTGCAGATCACCCGGGACAGAGCACGCCGCACCATTACCCTGACTCAGTCACACATGGTGCAGCAGGTCCTTCAGCGCTTCGGCTTCACGTACTCCTCGCCTCAGGCCACTCCTCTGCCTACTCGCCACTCGCTCTCAACTCTGCCTTCGGATGAGTCCGTAGAGTCGAGTGGCCCGTTTGCAGAGCTTGTTGGCTGCCTCATGTACCTGATGACCTGCACTCGACCTGACCTTGCATACCCTCTTAGCATTCTCGCACGCTATGTTGCTCCTGGGAGACACCGACCAGAGCACATGGCTGCAGCGAAGAGGGTGTTGCGCTACTTGTGCAATACGTCGAGCATGGGGCTAGTGCTTGGAGGGCGCAGTCCAGTGGTCCTCACTGGGCACGCAGACGCTTCTTGGGCTGACGACCAGGCTACGCAGCGGTCGTCACAGGGTTACACCTTCAGCCTTGGTTCCGGCTCTGTCTCGTGGCGGGCTACCCGCTCGTCTTCTGTTCTCGGCTCCAGTTGTGAGGCTGAGATCTACGCTGGGGCTATGGCTGCACAGGAGTTACGCTGGCTCACCTACCTGCTGACCGACCTTGGAGAGCAGCCTCGTTCTCCTCCAGTCCTGTACGTAGACAACAAGGCCATGCTGGCCTTGTGTCGAGAGCAGCGACTGGAGCACAGGACGAAGCACATTGCTCTCCGCTACTTTCTTGCTCGTGAGCTACAGCAGCGTGGACAGTTGCGACTTGCGTACGTGGCCTCTGAGGCCAACACTGCTGATGTCTTCACCAAGGCACTTGCGCCTTGTGATCATCAACGTTGTTGTACGCAGTTGGGTCTTGTGCCTGTCTTGCCTCACTTGCTCACTTCTTGACTTTGCTTGTACCTTCACCTATATATACTCTTGCTCTTGCCTACTTGACTCTTGTATATCTCTATATATGATCTTGCATGTGAACTGGCCTTCTGGCCTTTGAACTTGTGCTCGGAATGTGTGGTGACTTTGTGATCCACCCTGAGCTTTGCTTTGCTTTGCTTGACTGGTCTTGTGACCCCTTGTTCTCCCCCACTTCGCCTATGGGGGTGTGTCAAAACATTATAGCTTATATATATTTGTGTAGGCTATAGTGGGGTATCCCATAGGGGGTACAACCCAATCAGGTTTGCTATATCTGTTCACTTCATTCATAGTTGATTCATTCTCGTTCATTTCTTCTCAGGAAATGCACCGAACGACCTGAATGTTGTTGCATATTTGGGTGGCCCATGTTCAAATGCACCTTCCGGAGCAACTTCAGCTTGGTTCGCGAGCACAGAAAAGTTCGGCGCCCGCGATGACAGTCGTGCCTGCCGACAAATGCTAAGGAAGCGCATGGATCCCTATACGCGTATGGAAAAGCATCGAACGACCAGAATGTTGTTGCATATTCGGGTGGCCCATGTTCAAATGTGCATTCCATAGCCAGTTCAACCTAGTTCGCGCGCACATAAAAGTTTGGCGCCCGCGATGACGGCCGTGCCTGCCGACAAATGCTAAGGAAGCGCATGGATCCCTATACACGTAGGGAAAGGCATCGAACGACCTGAATGTTGTTGCATTTTCGGGTGGCCCATGTTCAAATGCGCCTTCAAAAGCAAGTTCAGGCTGGTTCGAGCGCACAGAAAGGTTCGGCGAAAGCATCGAACGACAAGAATGTTGTTGCATATTTGGGTGGCCCATGTTCAAATGCATCTACCAGAGCAACTTCAGCTTGGTTCGCGCGCACAGAAAAGTTTGGCGCCCACGATGACGGTCGTGCCTGCTGACAAGTGCTAAGGATGCGCATGGATCCCTATAAGCGTAGGGAGAAGCATCAAACGACCCAAATATTGTTGCATATTCGGGTAGCCCATGTTCAAATGCACCTAACAGAGCAACTTCAACTTGGTTCGTGCGCACATAAATGTTCGGCTCCTGCAATGACGGCCGTGACTGCCCACAAATGCTAAGGTGTTAGAGAATGAGAATGATTGGATTGAAAGAGAAGTAAGTACAGGTACCTAAACCTAGAATTGTGTAGCCCCTAAAGGCTAACCCACTATAGCATAAACAACTACAACATATATAATGTTTGACACACCCCCATAGGCGAAGTGGGGGAGAGCAAGGGGTCACAAGACCAGTCAACGCAAAGCACGGCAAAACAAACTCAGGGTGGATCTCAAGGATACCACACAAAGTCCGAGCACAAGCAAGCGGTCACAAGACCAGTTCACATGCAGTTTGATAATATAACAAGAGATACAATGATCACAACCTAACAAGTGTAAGCATTCAGGTATATATATAGAGATCACAGTACAAGCAGAGTCAAGAAGTGAGCAAGTGAGGGAAAGTAGGCACAAGGCCTAGAACAGTACAGAAACGCTGATGGTCACAAGGCTGAAGCGCCTTGGTGAACACATCAGCAGTGTTGGCCCGAGTGACCACGTAACGCAGACAAAGCTGACCACGCTGCTGCAGCTCTCGAGCAAGGAAGTATCGCAGAGCGATATGCTTCGTTCTGTGCTCTAGTATGTGCTCCTCACACAAGGCAATGGTAGCCTTGTTGTCGACGTACAGCACTGGAGGAGAACTAGGCCGCTCTAACAGGTCGGTCAGCAGGTAGGTGAGCCAGCGTAACTCCTGTGCAGCCATGGCTGTGGCGTAGATCTCAGCCTCACAACTGGAGCTGAGAACAGAAGAAGAACGAGTAGAACGCCAAGAAACTGAACTAGAGCCAAGGCTGAAGGTGTAACCCTGAGACGGCCGCTGAGTAGCCTGGTCGTCAGCACAAGAAGCGTCTGAGTGCCCAGTGAGTACAACTCGGTCTCGTCCTCCAAGCACGAGCCCCATGCCCGACGTACTGCACAGGTAGCACAACACCCTCTTAGAAGCATCCATGTGCTCCTTCCAGTGACGGCTAGGAGCTAAATAGCGTGCAAGGATGCTAAGAGAGTATGCGAGGTCAGGTCGAGTGCAGGTCATCAGGTACATGAGGCAGCCCACAAGCTCTGGATACGGGCCACTCGGCTCTACGGACTCATCTGAAGGCAGAGCTGAGAGCGAGTGACCTGTAGGTAGAGGAGTGGACTGAGGCGAGGAGTACGTGAAGCTGAAGCGCTGAAGGACCTGCTGCACCATGTGTGAGTGAGTCAAGGTGATGGTGCGTCGTGCTCTGTCCCGTGTGATCCGCAAGCCAAGATAGCTTGTCAGTTCACCCAGGTCTGTGCACGTGTGCCTCTTTTGTAGCTCCGACTTCACGTAGGCGAGTGCCGCAGTGTCAGCAGTGGCAAAGACCAAGTCGTCGACGTACACGAGGATGTAGAACGGCGGCAGTGAAGTGTCGGTGCGTAGAAACAGCGACGGGTCGGCAGTAGAGGGAGCGAACCCAAGAGCCGCAAGTGTAGTCCTCAGTGTGTTGGGCCACTCACGCGGCGCCTGTCGGTGACCGTAGACTGGCCGCCGGAGGCTCCATTGGGTACCAGGAGGGAACGACCCAGTGAAGCCAGGTGGGCGGCACAGCCAGATCTCCTCGTGCAGGCTGCCCTGTAGGAAAGCAGTGCTGAAGTCAAGAGAGTGGAGCTCGTAGTCACGCTGAGCGGCGACGTGCAGCAGAACCCGAAGAGTGGTCATCTTCGGAGTCGGGGAGAAGGTCTGGAAGAAGTACACTCCCTCTCGCTGACTGAAGCCTCGTGCAACTTAACGCGCCTTGAAGTCAGGCGGAGAATCCGGCGGCCGCTTCACCCTGAAAATCCACATACCACTGACGATGTTCTCCCCAGGTGGGGGAACCTCGTCGACGTAGGTGCCTGTGGACTTCCAGGAAGCCATCTCTGCGTCCATGGCTGACTGCCACTGAGAGGAGTAGGGACTCTTGATCGCCTCAGCGTACGATCGAGGAGTCGGGATGTCTGGTGCATCCGGGTCTCCCTCAGGGGCAACTAGCATGGACACGAGATGAGGTAAAGCAGCGGTGGAGCACTCAAACTCCTCCTGCCTGTCCTCAAGAACGTCCGTGCCAAGAGCACACTCACCCTCGACGGACGGAGGATAGACAGACTCAGACTCAACAACTAGGCTAGCAGCGTAGTCTAGACGACAAGTAGCAGCAAAGTCGACAAGCTCAGCAACTAAGGCAGACGCAGCAGCGGACTCAAAGGAAGGGTCAGTGACAACAGTAGCCAGGAGACGCGTGACAGTAGGACTGGTAGCGCGAAGGGAGTCAGACTCCGGGTTAGCAAGAGCAGGAAGAGAGGACGCAGGAGGAGACGGGAGAGGGACACGCTGGGGAGCAGTGTAAGGACGCAGAGTCATATAGTGTGTGCTGGGGACAGCAGGAGGACGCTCACGCGGAACACGGCTAGCAGTGCGAGCAGCACAAAAAGGTGACGCAGGACGAGACACAGGTGACACAGGACGAGACTCTGGCTCACGACGCTCTGTAAGACCGCCTGTCGGACCAGTGTAGGGAGAAGGACCAGGAAGGGGCGAGGTAGGCGGCAGCTGTGACTGCGACTGGACAGACGGAGGACACTCTAAGTTGGGAGGAGGACGACGAGGAGGAGGTTGACCAAGAACCTGCTGAAGGAGCGGAACGAAGTACGGCCGCGGCCGTGTAGTGTCTCTCCAGAGCTAGGAGAGGCACCAGCGCCAGGGTCCACAGCACCAACACCCGGGTCCGCAGCACCAGCGGCAGCTCCAACACCCGGGTCCTCAGCACCAGTAGCAGCTCCAACTCCAGGGTCAGTAGGCCCAGCAGTAGCTCCAACGCCCGGGTCCGCAGCACCAGCAGTAGCTCCAACGCCCAGGTCCGCAACACCAGCCGCAGTCCCAACACCCGGGTCCTCAGCTCCAGCAGCAGCTCCAACTCCAGGGTCCGCAGCACCAGCAGCACCACCAGCACCAGCAGCACCTCCAGCAGCGTCAGGAGCACTAGCACCAGCAGCACCTCCAGTAGTACCAGCAGCACCGCCAGCAGCAGCAGCACCTCTAGTACCAGGGTCCGCGACACTAGGAGCGCCACTCCGGAGACTGCAGCGCAGTGCGTACCACTCGTGGAGCCGCTGGGGAGAGGGCAGCTCCCGCCTAGGAGGGGAAGCACTAGCACCAGCTCCAGCAGCACTCCTAGCTCCAGAAGCACCTCTCCTGAGGCTGCAGTACTGTATGTACCACTCACGCAGCTGTTGTGAGGAGAGAGATCCTCCAGGTGTAGCACTCCCAGGCTCAGCACCTCCAGACTCAGCACCCCCAGACGCAGCACCCGCAGGCTCCGCACCCCCAGGCTCAGTACCCCCAGACTCCGCACCCCCAGGCTCAGCACCCCCAGACTCCACAACCCCAGGCTCCGCACGCTCAGGCTCAGCACCCCTAGCAGGACGAGAGTCGACAGCTACCTCGACAGGCTCAACCGGGTCTACCTGGGACACACCTGAGGGAGCGGCACCCTGAGGGGGGAGGGGGTCTACCACCGCAGCACCTGGCGCGAGGAAGAGAGGCGAGGGGGGGAGCGGGGCAGTGCGGTAGGGGAAGAGGCGGTAGTAGGGCACGGACTCGTCAAAAGTGACGTCCTGAGAGGGCAGGACACGGCGCGAGGTGGCGTGGTAAAACTGCCAACCAGACGCGTCCGGGACAAAGCCAAGGAAGACACAAGGAACAGCGCGGGAGGAGAGCTTGTCTGCGGACGTATCGCGAACAAAAGCTTGAGATCCCCAGACCCGGAAACGCTTCGCATCGCCAACCTCTCCCGTCCAACGCAGCGTCGGGGAAGTCTCCGGCAAGGAGACACGGGGCCAGAGGTTGAGCTGATGCGTAGCGTATCGGACCGCAAACGGCCAAAGAAAGTGGGGGGCAGC